TATTTGTGCATTGTGTAATAGGTTATTTTTAGAAGACTGGATACTTAGTTCATGCAGGTTTCATTGGTTTGAATGCAGAAATCTTGCAAAAGATGTAATTTGTAAGTCAGTCATATTTATGCTTGCTCCACAAATAAATTCAATGTAGTACTAATACTAATTACATGCACTAAGTATCTCCAAATGTACCATAGTGCTCTTGCCACCAAAAATGAAACATCCCATTTTGCAAGATATTTCTGCTGTGCATTAACACAATAAACAAATAATTTGCATCCTGTTTCTGACTGACACGTTGGATTCTTAATTTGTGTTTTACAAACAAAATGTAGTGCTAGGTTTTGAAGTAATCTGTTTTATCAGCTTTGGAAAACGCTAAAACATTCATTAATGACTAGATTTTACTATAATCAGTGTGCATTTCTAAAAGATAGTACAAGTCAATTTGAAGTGGGCTAAACTGTAGTTTTTAGTTAGCTCCTATGCAATATTAGACCTAATCCTGTTCCTAACAGAATGAGTTAAGTGATACATAATTAAAAGGATATTGGCTATTTAAACATTAGTGAGATGAGGTGAAGCAGTATTGTTTATTGAACTGAAGAACTTCTTTGTTCCGACAGAGTATTTGAAGTAGGTAAAGTACTAAGTAAAATATCACTTTACCCATCTTGCCTCTGATAACCTGGGACCAACATGGCTACAGCATCACCTCGCATCTTTTAACCATGGACTATTTTAAAGTGTTTAAACTGTTGATAATGCATTCATTTCCATGGAAGATTTTTAAAATACAACATTTTACATGAAAGTATGAGTAGTGAAAATTAAGTTTCACTTTCTTGGTGGGTTTCATTTTCAGGTTCTTAATTCTGTAATGTCTGGATTGGAAACACAGGGGAGCTTCTGTGTAAAAACTGCCTAGATCAGAAATTTTTCCAGGATTTTTTTTTTTAAATATCTGATCAGTCTAGATTTCAGAAATATTTGTATTTTAACAATCTTAATCTCTGGACCAAATCTGAGTTGCTGTTTCTTTCTAGGAGAATTGCATTGCATGACACTTAGAACACAATCCGATTCCCTAGCAAGGTCACAAGATGTCATGGCCTTACTTCTAACGCTCACAAGGGCCTGTTAGTTGGGTCTTAGAGTGGGGCAGCAAATGCACTAACACAATATACAGTAATAGTTGAAAACCTCACTAGAGCTCGTTACAACCAGAGCTGCATGATGTACGTATCTGTAGCGTAGTCTTGCTGGTGAGGTCTAAGGTCATATGGAGACACTTTATATGACTATTGTAGGGAATATGTTGTCATAAGTAGCAAGTTTATTTGAAACAAAGCAAAGACGTGAAATAGGGGCACAGGTTCAGTTTTGTGTGTTGTCAGCAGGGGTAATCTGCTCCCAAAATTCAGTGTGCAAATTTTAAATAAAATTGCATATAATGATTGTAAGTGCTCAGTGCTGAAGCTTTCAGCCTACTCAGATGAAAGCTGTATGTGAATGTCCTAAGTGCAGCAAGCCCCTTGCTTATTACGGTAGCTGAATTTCCCTGAATTGATCAGCAGCCTCTCTGCAGGTGTGGGGATTTGGTGTTCAAAGACACATGAACTGACGTGTGAGCAGCGGTCTCTCTAGAGACTAGAGCAGGGGGTTGGAACTCAGGTTTTCTTCTTTGCTCTTCTGACTCGCTGACCTTGGAGAGAGACTGTTGAGTGGCTGTGCCTCACTTTCCCTCTCTTGCAGGGATGATGCTAGCCTGGTGTTGCCTTGAAAACAAACACTTGGGCTACGTCTAGACTGGCATGATTTTCCGCAAATGCTTTTAACAGAAAAGTTTTCCGTTAAAAGCGTTTGCGGAAAAGAGCGTCTAGATTGGCATGGATGCTTTTCCGCAAAAGCACTTTAGACACGCCAATCTAGACACGCTTTTGCGCAAAAAAGCCCCAATTGCATTTTCGCAATCGGGGCTATTTTTGCGCAAAACAAATCTGAGCTGTCTACACTGGCCCTTCTGCGCAAAAGGACTTTTGCCCGAATGGGAGCAGCATAGTATTTCTGCAAGAAGCACTGATTTCAGACAGTAGGAAGTCAGTGTTCTTGTGGAAATTCAAGCGGCCAGTGTAGACAGCTGGCAAATTTTTCCGCAAAAGCAGCTGCTTTCGCGGAAAAACTTGCCATTCTAGACACAGCCTAAGTGTTAATCATTCTCCATAGAACTAGAGTTTATAATTTTATAAATACAAGTAACTAAAGACTGAATAGAATGGGCCACATGTAGGCATGTGATGCTCTGTGTCTAATGTCATTGGAATTGGGTACCTGTGTCTGGAGGTAGAATTTGCTTCAGTTACTAGATCATTTAGACCAAATGAATCCATGTCTTGCCTTCCAACAATGTGGCATCAGTGTCTGAATTCAGACTTCAGGGTAATATTTAAAAGAGGTTTGCTACTTAATCACCCTAATTATATTTAAACTTTTTGGATATTCTGAAGACCGATTTCCATAGCCTTCCTTTATACGTGCAACCTAAATTAATGACCTCTCATTTACCTAGTGTGGCTAAATTCACATCAGCCCTTCAAAGCTGATTGTCCAAGAGCTGGAAGTTGCCACCAGGTTTTTGCTAGGAACATCTGTCAGAAGTTTGTTGGCTTTAGTTTGTTTTGTTACCTCATTGGTAGCTGAAAATTCTTAGCAGTTCAGTGTATTTTTGCATCAAGTAGCTGTATAATGTGTCCTCCTTAATAGGACTTAATTGTAGTTCCTAGCAGTGTTTGAAAATGGTCTCAGTATGGAGACCAAGCTGAGGAGCATTCATTGGGCTTGAGGAAGCCAGTTGTACTGTTGCTGAGCAATTTTGCAGGTTTATTGTACTAACCACACACAATTCTCATGATCATGAGATTCCTCCGTTACCATCAATTTCACTCCATTTCCCTAATAATGCAGCTGCCTTATCTCCCTTGCGCCAATCAAACCTTCTTCTCCTGTCAAATCATTTCACTAGTTGCATCTGACTCGTCTCCTTGCAAGCGTCTGTCATCTGCTTCCAGTCCCGCCCCTGATCCTCACTTGTTGTTGCCCCTGTCCAGTCTAGACTGAAACTCTCTTGGGGGGCAAGGACCTGGCATGCCATGGAGACATGTGCTGTAGAAAGCTGCAGGAATCTGTGGTATGAAATTATTTTATTTTGGCACAGGTGTCCTTGGCCCTGTTCTTCCCAAAGAAATGAACCACGTAGGTTTGGTGATTGGGGCTGGCTGGTACCCATTGTAATGGCTTGAGGAGTGCGGGCATGGCAGTTCCTAGTTCTACTATGTGAGTGGTGCTCTGCAGCCCTGTTTTCCCCCACCCCCACGGCAGTGTGAGAGCCTGAGGGGAAAGGGGACAGTGGGAGAGGACTACAGCATGGCCGAAAGCCCAGAGTTAGAAGTCGTATGGAGCAGAAGTCCAAAAGAAGCAAGCCTGGGCATCCTGGAATGGTACCCCAGGGCTCCAAAGCACTACAGTTGTTGTGGGGAGCTGATTAGTGGTGTTGAGTTCAATCCGCTAGGCAAGACCTAGCCCTCGTGGGGATATAGTCAGGAAGGAAGTGGCCGATGAGCTTTCAGGCCCAGATTTTAGGGGAGGAACCAATATCTTGCTGCCAGGACTTCAAGGCTCAAGTTATGGCAAGGCCTGATGGACAGGAGATGCTGGACTGAAAGGGCCCTGAGTACTAGGGGGTCTGGGGTTTCTAGGTGTGCTGACCAGTGGAGAATAAGGTAGAGGAGGCCAGAGCCTTTGAGCTCAGCCAGTCAGGACAGATCTGAGACCAGACCTACTCTGGGGTAGAGATGTAAGTGAATAGTTGTAAATGAGCCTGGGCTCATTGGTTAACTTTCACTGGTGCACACAGATTCTTAACTCCCCCCCCCCCCCCCCCCCCCGCCTCTATCAGTGGCAGGTGGGCTAGAGACCAGACAGATGGGGCTCAGGAGCGTGTAGGTTAGACTTGAAACTCTTTTATTTCTCTTGCCCTTGGGAGATGCTCCTGAGTACTGTAAGCACATGCACTGCTTTCTAGCGCTACAGGTGGTAGTAACCGGCTTGCAGTGGAGTGGGGAGAGGATTTGGGGTAATTTTGACCTGAACAATAGAGTGAGTACTTGGACTAGTATGCTTTGGATTCATTTTTCAAACTTTGCAGATGCACACAGGTATTACTTCACACTTCATCTGCAGTTCATGTAACTGTGTTTTGCTCCCCGCCACCTTTCCTACAGAAGCGTGATGTCTTGCTCAGAACATTGGCGTAGAATCCTAGTATGTTGTCAAACCTCAACAAACCACCAGGCACAGTCCTCGTGGGCACAGAAATGCTGTTGAGCATGTCAGGGACAGAGGTGTTGAAAGGCCAGTGAGGGTTCTGGGGAGAAGTGACTTTGCTTCTCTGGAGGGTGTGGGATGCGTGGAAGGCAGAGTAATCTGGGTATGGTGGTCTACCTGGTTTTGGCTGCAATGTGTACAAGCGCTGTAACTGATCATCTCTGTGAAATGCCTGTAACAAATCGATTGTAGGAACAGAGTGCTCGCCAATTATAATCAAGTTACTGGTATTGGAGGGGGAAAATTGAGGGGTTGATGCCTTCATGTCTGACGCCATGTTAGTTAGGAATGCTACACCCTTCCCCCAAATCTTTGCTACATTGTCTATTCCCTGACTCTAGCATCAGGCAGGTAAAGCCTGTTTGGAGAGCTGCAGAACAATGAGATGACTGGCATTCCCTTTGCACAGATACATCTTTATGAATTGCTTCTCCACATTGATGGAATGTTCTTAAAATTTGTTTTGGGAACTAAACAGTTAAAATAGCGTTGGAGGAAATGAGCTCTCATGAATGAAGACAAAGTTTGGCAAGGTGCCAGAATCTGCTGAAGGGGTGGGGGGGAGAGGCAGCTAACTGACTTTTATACCACAAACGACTTTAAAAAAATTAAGAGATAATTCCATGTCCTGAGGTTACAAACCGGCTGCAACTGGTTTTTTTCCCCTGCCCCCGCTAGGCATCATGGGTAAAAGTAAGCATCCCCCTTTTCTTTTGTTTAATATAACAGTACAGCGCATGATTGGCAGGGAAGTGCCCGTTTTGAGACAGGGTTTCTGCAGGTCCCTAGAGGGGGATGGCACGCGGGGCCGCCCATGTTCTACGGAGAGGGCTTCTCATAAAAAAAATCTGTCTTTCTTTCCCTCCCTCCCCCTCTTACTCTGTCTTCTATTCTTTCTGTCTCTTTCCCCCCTTCTTTTCTCTCTGTCTCTAATTTTCTTGACAACTAAAGAAGGCAGCAGGATATTGTACCTGTAAGTATTCTTTAGACTGTCCTTTTTAACAGACAAAAGGCTCTTTATGGATTATCATGCCTGTTTTTTCTCTCCTTTAACGTGAGTTGGAAGGTTAAATGTAATGTTTTTACATTATATTTAAAGAGAGAACTGCACTGTTGCTTGTGTTTGCTGTTGGAATGATTCCCTCCCCTACCTCCCAAAAAACCTCACCTCTGTTCAGGTTCCTTGTTCATCGTGCAGTCGTCTTGTGGAATTCCTAAATACGACTCTCCCTGGTCTAAAGCTGCACGGGAAGGCTTATTTTAGATATATAAAAAAATGTCTTTTGTCTGTAGTGCTGATGGCTTGATGTAATAGCTCACCCCCCCCCTTCTTTTCATGTCAGCTCCAACCCCTCTCTGTGAATGGAGTCAACCAGCTGACGGAGGGTTAGTGCTGGCATGGTGCCAGGGGCTGTGAATCTGTGTGTGCGTGTGTGTAAGTGTATACAGAGCACAAAGGGAAGGCCTGCAGTCTAGGAAATCACAAGCTATTATATAAGGCAGCCTGCGTCATCTCTGCTTGCTCAGGCTGACGGATGGGGAGTAGAGCTGGAGGAGGATGGTTAAAAGGAAAACTCCCCTTTTGCCCCCTCTTTATTTTGAAATGACCGGTTCGTTGAGGGAGGGTAATGTTTGCAGCCTTGCAGGACCAGTTTCCCCAAACATTCAATTAGACACATTCCTTGAGAGGAAGAGAGAGATTCTCTGCCTCCCTTTCCGAAAGAGGGGAAGCCGCTTATATTTTTGTCTCCCCACATTTTCAATGATTTTGGGGGGGGGGGGGGGGAGAATAGAAAGCCTTTCTGTATTCAATAGCTATAGACTCTTAAGGTTTCTGTGTTAATGCCAGATTGGTTTTAATAACTTAGCTGTTCAGAAAACAACATACCAGAAAAATGAAATGTCAGATACTAGAGCAAATACTAACACTTTGCTCCTTCTGGTCCTCTCTCGGTAGAGTCTGACATGGTAGTAGAAATACTTTTTTATGCCATCTGCTACATGCAGTTGGGTTTGTACCGTACAAAAGTCAAACACATGGCAGCAAAATTATAGTGTTCCGAGTTTCCATGCATCTGGACAGCTGTAGTTTGGGGTTCTGGTTGGTGTGGATGATGGCGTTTCATTAGCTGTTAATTGCTGTAAGGTTAATATACTTCATTGCAGTTATGGGCATTTTGTTCAGAGAGACGGTGAATTGATTTGGAAGTTGTAATTTTATCTTATTGACCACAATATTTTCTTCCATTCATTTTTATTTGCTTCCTAGACACATTGTATGGCACAGACCCTGAATTTGTATTGGAGAAATGAGAATTAAGCATGCACATTAATGAATAGAGCTGTCGTAATGTTACTGTTTCGTTTATGTGAGGACTTACGTTGGCTCTGATCATTCAGATCTGAAGAACTGGTTAGTGAGTTTGCGTTGAAATGACTATAAGAATTTATGGTTTGCTGCAATCTAGAGACAGCTCCCTGATTCTGCTGGAAACTAGCATTGTTTGTCTTTTTAAATGTTATCTTTATTTTAATTTAATTCAGATGGTGCAAGAGTAAAAAAAAAAAAAATGTATAAAAACCCTAGTTGAAATTCCTAATTTATGAATGGATCTTTTCACTTTCAGCATTTGAGATATTTCTTGGCTTGCAATTTTTCCTTTGTCAAGGAGGATTTAGGATTGTCTTTCTTTTTAAAGATGCATTTTCTGCTCGCGATAAAAACTACATCATAGGCCTACTTCTCCTCCTTAGCAGTATAAAATTTCCCCATCCACAAATACTCAATCAAATACTCAGTCACACCATAGTATCTGTTTGCAAGTTACACACTAATGTGCACGGAGTGTAACATTCCTTGACAACTTACAAGCTGAAGCATGGGGATTTGAAGAACAGCGTATTTTTATTTGTTAGTGTTTAGTATCTGTGTTCTTGCAAATCTCTCTTCTGACTGCTTAGCCGTTAAGTCATAATTACCTTTGTAGGTTATTATCCTTTTTAGAGTATTGTATGGAAATGCTCATCTTGGGAGCCAGCCATTTTGTGTGTGCTGTGTTGAAATGCATTTTACGACATAGATGTTGGTTTGTATTCAGCGTAGATGGAAGTTAAGACATTGTAGCACTGCATATGTCAGGCTCTTTTGAGCCAGTAGACAAATTATTTCAGCCTCCATTGCCGGTTAACTGCTCTAGCAGGTTGCGAATGAGAAGCCAAAATCTGTGTAAAATCCTTGGTTTACGTATAGGCTTGCTTTTATTTGTGTGAAACTAGAATCTTTAAATTTCAGACATGCTAATGTGGCTGTTGAGCAGCCTGAGTGGAGCGAGTGAAGGTATGCAGGACCTTTGCTTTGTTAGGGTGTGCAAAGAATTTTTAATACGCATAAACAATAGAAGCTTGATATTTTCTTCTGTCCCAAAGAAGTGTTCGTTTTAAATACCCTGGTTAGGATTTAGCAAGGTTTCTGGCTTTAGTGTTCTGGGTACCAAAATGGTGGCAATTGACTTTTTGGAGTGACTCCTGTTTAAAAATCAGTGGGTTTCACAGAAGTAAGAAGACGTCAGCAACTTTAACTTAAAGCTACAGGCAGTGTGCCTTGAGGTGCTTAAGTTGGATTCCTAGTTCTTTTTATTTCTGTGCGAATGTGATGGATAACGTGGGGATGTTATGCTTCTTCAAATTGGACCAACACCTAACTTCATGCTGCCACTCCAAGAAGCTGCTAGAGTTAGGTGTTATATTTTGTATACATCCGAGTGGGTTCATTGTTTGTATCCCCAAACCTTGTGCATTATAAAGGTGTTTTCATAACCCGGCTTGTTTGCTTTCTTGAATTAATGCTGCTTCAGTAACTTTTTTATTTCTATTAGAAGAATGTTTTCCTATATGGGTTTTTTATGTGTGTTGCTTTTGCTGTCTTCCTCTGGTCTCTGAGGTTAATACATTTGCCTGTGGAGCTCCTGCTGGTAAGGTCCTGTATATTTAGTAAGAAGTCTAGTTTAAGGTGCACAAGAGCATCAAAGCTGGGAACCAATGGACAGACATTGTTACAGGATTGCAAGTTCTTCCTTTGGATGGTGGTAAAAATTACAGACTTGTGTGAGAATAATGGCTGTACGGGTTGAACATATCTGTGGTCCGGCATGAGTTCAGTTAGCTGGATGTCCACTTATCATGGGCAGGGCTCGACAATTACGGCAATTTACTCACCCGTGGCGAGTAGATTTTAGTCCGACACGGTGCCGCAGCACAATCAGCGCATGCGCAGCGTCCTAAACCACGTGGCTGGCGAGCAGGGCTCGCCGCTGCTTGTCAAGCCCTGATCATGGGTATAGCCAAGTTTCCTGTGGTCCCCTCAAGTTTGTTTACAGCCACCAGTCCTGGCTCTCAGTGTTCTGGGCTGTGATTTAGCTCTGATTTACCCCTCAATGTCTTCTCAGAGCCCAGCAAGCAGTGGCCATGTTGGTAGTGCTGCTAGACAGTGTTGTCCTCCCAGGGTTTGGCAAATTTTCTGGTTTGTCACCAGTCAGGTCGGACTAGAGAGGTTCAACCTGTGCTAGCTTTTTAGCGGGCTTTCAGTTGTTTGCCCTGTGTTCTAGGGCACATGGGTCTGGTGCAGAAATTCAAGTGGAGAAACAATTTGGTTTGAGCTGCCTAGGAAGGTCGAGGCTTGAAGTGTATGGGGAGCAGTCAGTCCTCCTTTGCAGTGGGATGTTTTACTGTAAATTTCAGTCCATCTGAGTGTGGCCTGCATGAAGGCTGCCTTTGGCTAACAACAAACCACTATGTCATATGCTCTCCCATATGACGGGGTCAGTCTGTTTGCAGTGCCCTGTGGCTTGGGTGGCTTCTCTTCTTTTCTGGTTCTGTTTTTCGCATGTTGATGGGGTTGTCCCATTGTTTCCTGAGGTCACCTGTGCATGGACATTGTCAGCTTGTCATGTAGGTATATGTTCACCTTCCCCTTGGGACGAAGAGAACTCAAGCTAATTTTCTTGATTCTGAGCATGAAGGGGGCTTACTGTACTTTGGTTATTGCAGATGGCAGACTAGTTCTGTTCTTGCTTCTCTCTATTGGTGGCAATGGTAGCTGTCTTTTACCACAACTTCCTACTCTGACAAGTTGTCATGGCATTTTCAAAGGCCTGTACAGACTTATTCCCCTTTTGGGTATTACTTTGCTGCTTTTAGCACAGTTCTTTCCCTTACTGTAACTCATGTAGAATCTTTTCTAACATCTTTGTGTCCTGAGGGATCCTGCTTTACAAATACGGTTACACAGCAAAATCTCAGTGGCTGCCATATGTCTGTGTTTAAAGCAGTGGGGCTGTAGTATGGAGCAGCTGACAGGATCTGAGATTACTGGTCTTCAAGACAAGAGACCTGTGTATTGACATGTGCCAGAAATCCATTCCCTTGCTGCTGAGATTCAACTACTGCTTTATGTAAGTGGACTGTAGAGTATCCTGTGTCACAGGGTGGTATGATGTTTGGTGAAGAACTCCAGGGCAGCCTTTCCTTCTCCCTCCTGCCCTCAAACTGGAGTCCAAGAAAAGTTAATTACTTTCTATGGGAAAATGGGGGAGAGGTATTAGATGAGCTTCAAATAGTCAGACACGTTTTACAAGTGCTCCAGAACACGGAGGGTGCAAAGAAAGCTCGTGTGTCAACGTGCCAGTGGTTTAGAGAAGACTGGAGGAAATGTTTCAGCAAGCAGAGAGCTGGGAGTAATGAGGCAAGGTCTTTGGTGGGGGAGTCAGTGTAAAGGAGGAGGGCAGCTGGGAATGCCAGTGGAGCTGTTGGGGTGGAGGCTGGCAGACTTTCACTTCCCCGTACATTTAAGCTGGTGCCTGGTAACTGCACTTCAAGACTTTGTCCTCTGGCCCCACGTTTCTCTAGCTCGCAGGTTTTGTGAGGCGAGGAAGGTGCAGACGGAGCAGAATCAAAGTCTATGGACAGATGAAGTGT